TCACTAGATGCGAGAGACTAAGAAATCCAGAAAGATTTAAATGAGAATTTCAGGGGAGAAACCAAAGAAAATCTAAAGAGAGATTACATGGAGAGCAAAGACAAAGGGCTAAAAAAAAATAAAAATGAAGGACCGCATAATTAAGTCACCAACACCGAGTGGCTCAAGGAACTGAACATTTTTTGTCTTGAACAGAAAACAATGAGATTATGTTTTTCCTTAGCCCTCACTGGCAGAAAAGACTAGCTTTTCAGAAAGAGAAGAGAAACATGAACCAGATGACAAGCAGAAACTACACGAAAACACGCTTTTACCAAAGCTTACAAGAGTATGAAGTGGATTCACTAGCTTGTATTAAGAAATGGCTTGATGAGATGCTTGAATCAATGAACTACTAATAGGTTGCTAAATGCCCTCCTTTTGTTTGTGACTATTTTTATTTCAATATTTCCTTATTTTCCACATCTAAGATACCCTTAGAGATTATGTTCCCATATTTTGGATATCTTATGCAGTAGACCTGAGGAGCATTGAATATTTATAGACCAGTAAACAGTCTCCAAGCTTATCTAGTCCCTACAAGAGGAATGGTACAATATCCAGCAAGACGTCCTTTGGAACCTGTTGCAAAGCTTGTGTCACAGATGTACAGCTTGTATTGCATGCCATGGTAAATGAGCTACTTGTCTGTGACTTTCACATTAGAGCCCCTGTTGATTAACCCTACTGATGACAAATGTTAATCATAATGAATTTACCCATGTTGTGTCTGTTCAATTCAATGTCAGCACACCCAACAAAAAAGTTTGTAATTTTCCAGTCAATAACTTTATGACTTTGTTGCAATTAGAAGCATCTTTTGATGCTCAATATACTTTCTTCCTCTGCCACCACTATAAATACAGAGCAAACAGAAAGCAGCAGTTGCAGGGAAAGTTAATCTTTCAAAGTAATTCAAATTCTGAATAACCTTGTTCTAGACATTAATGGCTTATGAAACAGTTTTGAAAGATCAAGCCGATACTGGTTCATCTTCCACACCTACAGTAGGCTACTGTTTGAGATACTGCAGCCTAAGTAAATGAACTGAGAAACTAATTGTAACACGGCACCACGTAAGTCTATTGCAGCCATAGGTTTCAGATGTGTCAACAAAGGTAGCGGCTTTTAACTTCTGGAGTCTATTGTCACTGAATTTGTTCAGATCTTTGCAAATAATTACTGTTTTCAAGAAGCACCCTGTTTCATCTATTCAAGGATATGAATCAAGCTGCAATGATCAGTGTAGTCACTCAGAATGCACAATGATCCTCTGAGTCATCACAGCGATGGCTCCAGGTCAGAATAACTTGAAAGCATGAAAATAAATAATGCTTCTTCCTGTTGGAGCACCTATCCAGTTCACATGTCCTATAAATGTATGGTAAGGCAAACTTAATGCATATCATCACATTCCAGCTCAGCCTTTCATGAGCCAATTCAACTAATTATTGGCTTAAACTGCTCCAGTTCTGTTAAGCTGCAGCTGAATAGGGAGACACAGCCCTATTTTACTTATTTACAAATAGTAGAAATAGAATACATTTTCATGTAGAGAAACCTGCAAAGAAGAAACCTTTATACCAGCTGATAAATGTGCACATGGCTCCACACACATGGGTTATACATTATCTAGTCAATTGCATCACAATACAATGCAACCAATGGCTCAGACACAAATCCACAGTTTCTGGTGCATTAACCATGAACAGCATTCCGATGCATGGCTATAGAGAAGACCAATATTTACACCATTGACACAGTGGGAACGTACTAGACTCATACCAATTCCATTGTTCTATTTAATAAGATTGAGACTTTAATTGTACTAAACTCTCCAATAGTGACCTTTCGCTTTAGGACTGATCATCCTTCTGTCACAGAAAGTAAATATAACCAATATCGAAAAAGCAACTGTGAAGACTGAATAGCTGAATTTAGTAGGCCAATTAGAGTAATTTGAGAAGCTCTAAATAATCTGGACAAATGACAAGAGTCTGTCATAACCTTACATACTATACATAGCACAAATAATTTTTACAGCAAAACCACAAAACACAAGTTTCCGGAAGATGACAATTGAATTTCTTCCAACAGGAAAAGGCATGACTTGTTAAAAATCCACAATAAATAGGGTGTCATAGACAAATGCTGACTGTTTGCGTAAAGAAACTGGTCCAATTTAGATTTAGAATAAACCACAGAATTCCTCTATGAGGAGTGTCGAGATCTGATAATGGAAACCCAGAGATCAGGAACAAGTACAGTTTCCAAAATGCCTCAAATAACTCTAGACCAAACAGAATCAATTATTACATACTCAATTTGAATGTAATAATTTTCCTTTGATAGGACTGATACAAAAGTGTGAAGATTTGACTATTATGCAGGTTAGATATAAGAAAATTGTAATAGCTGCTCTTTAGGCGCAAGAGGTTTGTTCACTGGTAATAAATTCAAACAGAAATGAATGTACAACTAAAAGAAAGAAGTCCCAAGAAAAGCAATAACAAATGTGTTGGCCTCCACTTTCAAGATGTATTTAATGTAACGTCTTTCATCATATGATATTGCCTCAAAGCACTTTAAAATAAAACCGCAAAAATATACATTTTTAAATATTTCTTTTCACATTCATTTGCACATTATGCAAAAAGGAAGTGAAAATGAACTCTGCACATTCTTTTAATATTAAAATATTAAATTAAAGTAAGAGGGAGAAAAGACAGAACTGATTACCTACAATGCATATTGGTCAGGCGTCATTGCTTTGTGATAGGCTGTATAAATTCGGCATTACCTAGATGTTTAAACTTGATTACTTCATTTAGCCAAATAAGTTAATAGGGAATAAATTCTCCTCTACAATGGTGGCCATAGACACGGTTTCACATTCCTGCAACCTGAAACAATAGGTAAAAGTCCCTGAAAGGTAATGCTTTGTGGACCAACACTGGCAACTTACCTTGTTATTCCACCTTTATAGTCTCTCTTAGCCCATAATGTAAACACTGGAATTCCTTTTCCTTTCCTTTTTTTTGGTCTTTGTCATCTGTAGATCTAATTCACACATTTAGATGTAATTTAAAGCAAGTGCACTGCATGAGAATGCTAGAAGTGGGGGCTTCTGATTGGCAAATCAATTAACCCACTGAAGACTGACATCACAAGAAAAAGGGGCCTGAAGTTGCAAAGAGAAACTTCATGGAGTAATCAGAGATCCTTTTTCTTTTCTCACTTAGCAACATGCAGCTTTGAAATAAGTAATATAGCTTATCCATATTTATTTTGATTATGGAAATGTAACATTTTATGAATTCTCCCAGTATGTTATGTCTGAGAAAATGAAACTTGGCGATATTCTAGAAATGCAAAATGACACCATAGCTTGCAATTAGGGGCGGTTCTTGCGTTAGGTTTGCGGGAGGTTAATCCACCCCACCTTCAATATTTTTTGGAGGGACTGTAAAGGTGCCTGTGATTAGAATTGTGATAGATTTTTCTCTTAAAACACTGACAAGCACAACATGGAGGATGAGCCACTCCGTGCCTTCAGAAACCACTGCTAACAAAAACAGGCAGCAGAGCATATTACAGCGAAATTGTGAAACCCATTTAATTGAAAATATGCTTCTGTAAAAAGCATATCTGAGCAAAAACCAGTAGTTGTCTTGGAAGGAGAATACAGAAACTCCGTGCATCTTAGTCCTTTAATTGTTTAATTCTGTTCGAATCGCAGTCATTTGCTGTGCTTCCCAAACGGACTATAGGCTTAGATCTAAATAAACTGATCTCATGGTCTCCCAGTCAAAGAAAACCTCTAAATGCAACAGTGGGATGGAGATTGAAAGTATTTTTAAACGCAGTGCTTACATAATTAGTGTTTATATAATTTAACTTTGAAATTTCCACTTTTAAAAAGGGTTTACTGAGGAAATAATTGTTGAGCATTTATGTAACAACGCGTCTTAGTCACTTATCACAGTCATGCTGGTATTGACAGAATTATCAGGTCTTTTTCCAACTTTGACATGGTGACTATACAAAAGTTTATTAGTTGTCTGATCGGCAATTCAAGAGTAGAAGGATCCCAATAGCTCGGATATAAAAAAGCGAGACAAATCGGAAGACTAGTTTTCACGTCAAGTACCACATACTATAGATTGCTATAGGTTCAGAGTTGTACTTCATTCTTTTTGGGGGTGGAATGTCTGAAGCGGTTCATCAGCATTCACTCCTGAGATTACATCACTAAATTCCGTCATTTTTTAAACTAGGTACAGTATAACTAGACATATCAATGGAATAGGTAATTTAATACACGTGGATTCAATTAGAAATGATTTGTTTCAAACCTCAATCAGACTTCGTGCTTTGGCTTTAAAAGCACCTTAAATGTTTATTTACTCATCTTGAAACGCATGACATTCGTTTTCTGTTTAAATGATCAATTCTCAAAAGATCATTCTTTAAAAAACACAATTTCACTTTTTCTAATCTCTGAACTTTTTCGTAGCAAATGTACTGTGTACTTTTTATTAAAAGTAGCGGTTTGCAGTTTAGCTTTAATGTTACTCTCTCGCTTCCGAAATCAAGCAATTGGCTGTTGCAAATAAAATTCAGAAATCCCGTTACATGACTCAGCCTTTCCATAAGCAAAACAAAAAGATCCTTTTGTACAGAGGGAAATTGTACAGCTACAGACATTATTAAAAAGAAAAGGCATTCGCCTTACAGCTTCAGTGCAGTTACTTGAATTCGCTTCTTAGTTGACTAAAGGAGAGGAAAAATCAGTTTTCATCACAGCGAAATTATCATGAATGAAAGTAAAAGCACGATAATAATCACAATTGAAAACAAGAAAATGAAGGAATCGCTTTGCTTAAAACGTATAAAAATACAATGATTCTTCACCGATATGCAAGTTTCATAGAATTCTGTATCTACAAACTTCATCTTACCTCGTTTACGGCTATGCTAAATGCCTCCGGTGTAAAATTATTTCTTAGTCGTATTAAAATCCTCTTTAGCGTTATCTACAGAAGAGGTAAATCTATGCAATCTGCGGTTTATGAATATCCTACGGCTCTGGTGCCGTGAAGCTCCTGCACTCCGCTATATCTATACAGTAGGTCATGGGTGTGACCGTTTTAGCAGCTGGCAAACTCCTCCCTTCTTCCTCGGAGCTCGCCACAACTTCATTGGAATTTTCCAGATGTGCACAGTCGGATCCTGTGTATATTTCTGTAAAAAAAAATCCGGTTTTATTTTACGTTTTTATTTTTCTACCCACAGCAGTTTAGGAAAGTGCGTCAATTTTTACTAAAACAATTGCATGAAAATAGCCCCTGTCCTTTCTCTTCGCTACCGCCGAGTTGAAGAAACCTCTCTCTGCCCTGAAGGCAGATCGCAGGAATGTAAGGGCCTTTGAATCAGGCGACAGGGCTGGATAAGACATGATGTAAAACCAGCCAAACATGAAAACACAGACCCTTTAAATTGGCCGGTCCTAATCAGTCCTATAATGTGTCCTGCCATTATCCATGAAATTCTGAACTTATTCTTTTTTTTTCGGATACTCTGTAAGGACATGAGACTTGAAATGAGAGAGCCTACAGCGGGGGGGGAAACATGAAAGTTACAGTGGGATTTTCTTTCCAAAAAATATAGCAAAAAAAAACTGTCCAGTAACCTAAAAAAAAAGAGATGTTTAATAAGGGAGAAGGTATAATCTGAGGGAGTATGCATGTTTTTTGCAACTACTTTCTCTCACACTGCTCTGGCTCTGTGAAAGGACATCTGAAATGTTGTTGTATTGGCAAGGATACCTAAAATGAGTTCAACAGCACTTGTGCCACTGAAACACTAACAGCCAGTGTGTGGGTGCTGAATTTAACTCCCACACAGTATGTATTATGTGAAATTTGTACTTTTACCAAGGCGCATAACAAAACAAACTTTCTCCAAGTTCTTTTATAGCTACAGTATTGCAATGGGTTTTATACTTCCCTATAAAAATGTTAGTGTATTCAGTAGTGTGATGTGTATATTACAGTAATGTAAAAAACAGATTTAATAAAATCCCTAGGTATTTAACCAGGGATTTTGGGTGCTTTCATAATTTATTGGTTATGCGAGTTCCACGATTAAATATTCAAGTTCTTAGTGTAATACATTGAAGACGTAAGAGAATATGCAATTTAATGTGAACCAAATAACCATGTAGGAATATTTGCAAAATTGAGTTTTTGGTGATGGATCATTAAATTATGCAGCACTCACTGTAGACTTTGTTTCCCGAGAGCATTTGTTCTCAGCTACTTTATTTTGTTACATAAAGTACATTGTTACATTATAGCCTGCTGCAACCATGGCTGCTGGTGCTGCTGTACATGCCATTGTGTTTCTCTGTGTTGGCCCACCACCTGTACATGTGTTCTGACCAAACTATCCTGTTCTCCTCCCCACATGCTGGGTACCATCTGAGTTGGATGCTGCATCACTGCCATGAGGGACATTGTGGATGTAGCTATTGTTTAGGAGGAATCTACAGAGATCTGCATGGAGTACTAACACACAGACATGATGGCTGGATGGATAAATACCCTCATCTTTTCCTTTTTTAGATTTTATAATGTTAGCATTCCCAAAGGGGTTGAGCAACCAGTTGACCTTGGACCTCTGGAGGTTTTTCCTCTCCTTACTAAGGAGTTTTTGGTTCCTCTCCTCCATTGTCTTCTGTTCTGTATTGAAAATGTATTGTTAAGCACCTTGGGGCAGCCTTGTTGTGAAAGGTGCTATATAAAAATAAATTGAATTGAAATACAGAATATATTTATATTCCACACTTTACTGGTATGCAAAATGCAAGTCAGTATCCAACAGACTAAATAATGGGTGGGGAAAAAATGCACACAGCTGATTACAAACAAGAGCACCATGGCACAATTGTGAGGGTTCTCAAATGGTCAAAGTTCATTCTTTAATTATTTAGTCTTACTCTCTCTTTACAAGACTTGGGGTTCTCCTACCCTATCCTGGAGTTCCATGGTTTTGGTTTGGGTACATTCTAGCCTAATTAGAGCATCTTAAATGATATTCCCAGGTCTTGGAATGGTGCTGATTCAAAGAGACCTATAAAACAGGAGCAGCCCTCCAAAACTGGCGTAGATGTACTCTACTTTGGGCCATGCTTGGTGATCTTGGTGATCATTAAACTAAAGCTTCATTTTTGTCTAATAGCCGATCACAGAGATGTTTTTTTTTGACCAACTGAGTTTCAATAAAAGAAAGTTCACTACCAACCCTTATTTCTTACTAATATCAGTTACTTCAGCACTTTATGATGGCTTTTGTTAATATGCAATATATAACCGGAATCCATTGGGTGTACAGGAAATGTTTGACAATAGTTTCTATTAAGGTATTACAAGTACTGTATTACTAGCATGGTTTTTGTTTTTTACTGCCATTCATGGATCTGGGCCTTGTAATAATTAAAGGTACTGTCTGACAAACAGTACCTCAGCGGAGGACGGTTTGTAAATGGCATTTCAAGTGTACATATTGGGAAGTCGGAACACCCTGAAACAAAATGACATATTGCATAAAAGTCTGATTGCTCATGGCAGACCTATGGGACGGGAGAACGGTTGGAACAGAAATAAGTAAGCAGTTCTTGTGTGTCGAAGTCCGAGCCACATTCTTGAAATGTGTTCAATTGAGCCTTCACTCTGCAAGCATTAGTTTTGTTAGATGGTCCAGCTACACTGGGCTGCAGTGTGGGTAGGGCTCTGGACTGAAGTGTCTTATACAGTGACAAGGGGCTGCCATTTCATCCATGACCAAGTAAATTTACTTGGATACCCCCAGTAAAATGCCTGCTCTGCCAATGGGTGCCATCCAGGTTGTAACTGAGCATTTGTTCTTGGCTACTTTATTTTGTTAAATACACACATTCAATACTTACTGGTATGCACAATGGATACTTACTTGCAACAGACTAAATAATGCAAACTGATAATGACAGAATACACACAACTGATTACAAATAAGAGCACCATTGCATAATTGTGTGAGGGTTCACAAATGTTCATTCTTTAATTATGTAGTAAATCCTATTGAGACTTTGCTTGTAATTAAGTTAAGGCTAAATCATATTTAACTGTGAGTTATAAAATGAAACCTTAATATGTGTTTTCTTAATAGGGAGGGAGTGCTCAAGCAGCATTCAGGTTGTTTCCAGGGGAATTGGGTTTGTGCATTTCCTTGTTTGAGGTTTGGTGGTAAACTAGAACTGCTAAAGGTCTGCTTTCATATAATGCTGTGTCTTGAATGTGAAAGCCACAGATTATTTTGCAGATTTTTCATAAATTCCCTTTTTTCTTGAGATATAAGACAGACAGACAGTAAAGTAGACCAACTAGGTAAAGCACCAGGAATCTAGAATCATGTTTTTGAACTATAATGGGGGTGGGGGAGGGAAGTACACATGAAACTGTAAAAAACTCAGTTAGTTATTTAGCTTGTGCGAGTCTAGATACGTTTTTTTAAAGATTTCCTTATCTGGTGTGTGGCTGTTTTTCAGAGTGAACCCAAAAATGTTGTCTAATGCATATTTTAGCCACGTGGCTTCTAAACCAATGGACAGTATGAACATTGGTGACCAGGAACTACCATTGTCCAGTCAAGGAATATAATCAGTGTGCTCTCAAGTTGGGGAAAATTTGATAAAAAGCATCAGACATAAAAGTTGGGCTTGTATTTGGATACTTATAATATTAAAATTGTATTTAATTAAGGTAAATATACAGTCACTGTTATTTACCCAACAAGAACTAATGTTTGATGGATATTCATTAGGTTTTAGCCTTCTTTGAAGAGTCACATAAATACCTTTCACTGTAAAATTGAAAACACTTAATGTTTTCTTCAGTTGCTTTGTTTGTGTCCGTTTTACATTAAATTAATGGATATTGTAAGTATTCTGTTTATTTTAAATGGCTGAAAGGATTGTTCTGGTACAGGAACATCCAATAATGACATACATGTGAGAGATGTTGCTTATCTACTGTAATCTTTTTGGAGTAAATAGCACAATGTTCTGTGAGGTGGCTGGGGGGGAATAACCAAATGGTCTTCATGGACCTTTAAGATCAGTATGGTGAGAAATTTTGCAATGTTAAGTTTAATTAAGGTGGTACACGGCCCTTTGTAACGGCTACAAAGTATTTTGACAATCAATAATGGGTACATCACAGAAGTTAAATTAAATTCAACACACTTTATTTCTACCCATAGGAGCAATTAACTTCATTCTTTACAACAGAAGGATAACGGCAGTCATGCAACTCAATGCTTCCGCCTCACAACAGATTTATTGCCCAGGATTTTCCTCCCACTGGCAAATATTTTCCTGGACTGACAGAAGAACTCTCCTAAATTCCTGGTGTCACCCAAAGAAAACTCAACAGCGGAAATGTCTCTTCTATTTTGCTGGTTCAAATGAATCTTTTCATGTTCCTTTGCAGCTCATGCACACTGCCACAGTTCCGCACTTCCACACAACAAAACGTGTCAACCAACACTTTTATTGTGAAGGCACTCTGCGAAACCTCAGGGTATAATTTTACATTATATTCCACCCATTCTCATTCTGCTTGTCTGTGTGAACTATACAATTGACTCATTTCTCAGTGGGAGCCTTAAACTCATTTATGCTTATGTTTATTTGCAGTTGACATCTGATTTCTCTCCATGGTATTTGAAAAAACACCAATACGGGATGGGCAGGTTGTCTAATATGCATCATGACATAAAACTGTGTGGGTTTACCCCCAGCTGGCAGCTGCATTTTGGTGGTAACTGAAATGACCCTAAACTGATTCTCTTCTATCCTGTATGTAAAACACATGGGGATCCTTTGGAATAAAAAAACACTTTGTAAATGTTAGGAATTACGATTATTGTTCTGGAGACAAATTCAAATCCTACATACAGTACATATGCACATACATTAATTGATACTCTTTCTAGTGTTAAAATTCCAACATGACCTTCAGTGAAACAGCTTTTTCTGAATTAGTGGTACCAGTTTCCATTTATTGAATTGAGTATAACCCTAATTTCAAGCAAGACTGAAAAGAGATCCACCTCTAAATTAATTGGCAATTAATTGAAGTTATTTTTATTTATGCCCCCT